GCCAGCGCACGACCGTGTAAAACAGCGACTTGCCCGTGCATATCTCTGGACAACTCGCACGGCCTGGGCGCACCTTTGCACTGCCGGTGCGACCCCTGGCCGCACAAACCAAGGTCACAGCCACCACGCACGGTGTGCGAGGTTATGGTCTGTCCGTGTAAGTTCCTCAGCTTCCCTTCGAACGTCTTAACTTCGTCCAATCGACCCCAAACTCGTGGCCAAGCCTTAATCCACAGACTAGGACCTGAAATATGACATAAAAGCACAATCTAGTGTGAAATCGGCTTAAAACACGAGAACCAACTCTCAAACGGTTCAAGAATAGTTGGCAAAACATGTGCTAATAGCGGTTTATCAAATCCCTAACACTTAACCGTTACCTTGTCCCCAAGCAAACCTGCCTCAAACAAATGCATCTCTCCAGACCTCCATAGCAACATGCAAACCCGATCGTTGATAGAGGACTTCCTAGATCATTTAGCAGCTTACAAGGTCAACCAACGCACAAGACACCTCCTAACTTCTTTGGCGAGAACTCTAGTCCTGAGTCGGGATCATGCCAAATATTGATTGGAGAACAAATGCTTCGTGGATAAAAAGACTCTCAAAAATAGAAAGATCATGGACTCACTTTTAGGGTGCTCTATTTTTTTTTAAGATGGTTGGAACCCCCTTTCTTCTTCTGTTTCTTTTTTTCTTTTTTGGCTAGGGTTCCAACCTCTTTTTTTCTCTCCAGAAAATGGGGCTCCCATATGGAAATAGCATAAATAGAGCCAAGCCTTCTCTAAAAGTAGCAAGTGCAAGTCCCAGGAGATCACCCCTTTCATTTTGGGGCGACGGAGGGATCGTACTAGAAAAGGTTTTGAAGGTGTCCAGCTTTTACCGGCCATGTTGGGAGCGGATGTCTCAAGCCTCGTGCAGGGGAAATAGGTGTAAGGGGACTGGAGGTAGTAAGTGGAAGTTGGGAACGAGTTCTTGTCTCCCCTTACACACTTTCACCAATTTTCACACGTGATACATTATTTTAAAAGCACAATTTAGAGCACATTTTTCAAAATATGATACAGGAGTCCATGACAGGGAGAGAGTCATCGATACCACACGATTCAAGTGTCCTAAGATCACTAATTCACACAATCTAGGGATCAGAAAGGGCTGTTCGGATGGAGCGACTCAGGGAAGGTTTATAGCTTGTACAATCCAATTCTCAAGAAGGTCATTGTGAGTAGAGATGCCATTTTTTATGAAGAACAACCTGGATGTTCCATAACTCTGAAATCTCCTATCTTAACAAAAATTCTATGGGAAGGATGTGATGAGAAGTTGTGGGAGTCAGACACATAAGACCAGTAAGAAACCAACAAAAACACTAATTCATGCTAAAATATACAATTCACCTTCAACTACCAATCCAACAACCTAGCAATTGGAGCAAACTCCACTACTTGTTCCAAGGATGTTGATGCAATTGAGGAAGAGACTTGACTTGTTAGGACTTCCTCATGATGAGTTGACTCCTAAGATTTCTAGACCGACTGCACATTTTGATGACTTTGAGATGGGATGTGTTTAGGTTGACTAGTGGCCACTATAGAGGATTCTCAATCCTTTAAAGAGGGAGTGAAGAATTACAAATGGAGAGAGGAAATGCAGGAAGAGATGTAATAGAGAATAATTGTACCTGGGAGCTTACCACCCCTCCCCCTGAAGTCATACAAATTCGGGTGAAATGTATATTTAGAACAAAGCTAAATGAGACATGCAAGATGGAAAATAAAAGGCCATGCTTTTAGCCAGTGGTACTTGCACCCGTGGCTACAATTGGGGTATTTTCATCTGCTTTTCATGGATTCACATTCTACCAACTAGATGTCAAAAGTAATTTTTTATTATTAGTTGGCTGAGGATGCATGCATCACTCAACATGAATACTATGTAATTGCGGGAGAGGGAGACAGTGTCTACAAACTAAACAAAGGCATTATATGAATTGAAACATGCATTAAGGGCTTGGTATAACATAATATATAATTTTTTTGAATAGTATGGACTTAGAAGTTGCTCATATGAACATACATTGTTCATCAAAAGAGAAGGATTAGACCTTCTGCTAGTAAATCTTTATGTTGATGATATTATGTATGCTAGAAGTATGAATCCAACATTGAAGAATTCAAAGCATCTACGCAAACTGGGTTTGGTACGTTAGACTTCGGGAAAATGAGATACTTTCTGTGAGTTGAAGTAATTCAAAATGAAAGAAGGAATATTCTTGTGTGAACAGATGTATGATTGAGAAATTCTTGACAGGTTCAAATTCACGGAATGCAACCTAGTAAAAAAATCCAATATTACCTAGAGTCAGATTGTCGCAAATGGTGATAGAGTTCCAAAAAATGCAAACAATTACAAGCAGTTCATTGGGAGGCTGCTATGTATCATTGCTACAAGACCGTACATAATGTCACAATCTGTTTCTTGAGCAAGTACATATAAGCTCCAGTGAGGCATGATATATATATATATATATATATATATGGACCAATAAGGCATTATATGCTTGCTGCAAAAAGAGTGTTGAGGTACTTGAAAGAGACACTATCATGATATGTGGTACAAGAAAAAGGGAGGATAATATTTCTTAATGTAATATGGTTTGTGATTAAATCTAAGAAACTATAATTGCAAACAAGCAACAAGGTAAATTGCGGTAATTTCGATGTGAGAAGGTTTCACCCGGATATTTTCCCCCTAGTCTCGTGCCAAGATGCGATCAATAAACTCAAGTGTGAAGAGGGTGATTAAATATCATGAGGAGAATGCAATTAGTTACGAAACCCAACTCTCTTAATCAATCAACTAAGGGTTGTCACAGTAAGTTAGATAATCTAGCTCTCTTAGTTAATCGACGAAGGACTGCAAGGCAATCCCTCGGAGGTCAATCAGAATGACGAAAGACAATCGATCATGATATAATCATGGTGCCAATTCGATGTTTGAGGTTTTTCCTTAATTTCCCTAGAAGGGGTTACTCAAATTGCCATGGTATGGGCTATGAGGGGATTTCCTCCTCCTAAGTCAAAATAACCCAACCAAGAGATATGATAAACAATCACTCAAGAATTATGAAAATACCTCAATAATTATATTAATCACCTAATCATCACACAAGATTTCAACTTTTACATACTAACACATCCTAGACTTGGGTTTTCAATATCCAATTGAAAAAGGGAGACTACTCCATAGCTAGGAAGGGAAATACAACAAGGATGGAAGAAGAAACCATGGTGAGGTGATTTTCCTTCCTTCTTGTTTCTAGAATCACCATTTGGAGAAGAAATCTTCAACCCTCTAGCATTTGGTAAGCCAAAACCTTTTACTTCCTCTCTTTAGCTGGTTACTTTCTCTCTCTATTTGAAGCAGAAGAACCCAATCTCACTCTAGAACTATCCCTTTATTTTTTTAGCTCCCTCTTCTTTATATACTTCAGTAGGGAAGTCTTCACTTTCAATTATCAACCCCCTAATTCGAAGGCCTTCCTGTGATCTCGGCCACAAACGCACCATTTCATTAATAGACTTCACGGACAAATGAAAATTGTCACGATCTGGTGTCTATAAACTCTTACTTGCCCGCGAGCCATCCAAAGCTTCCTGGACTTCGTCAATTGTCAAGGTATGGGCTCCATCTTCACGGTCCCCCCCCCCCCCCGGCCGGTGGCAATCGTTCCTTGCGCGTGATCTCTGCCTTTTGTCCATTCTTGCCCTCTTTCGTTCGACTTTCGATCCCGGAGCTCATTCCACCTGCTAAGATCTGAAACATGCTAAAACATGCATAAACCTACCATAAAATTACTCCTCGAGCGATGAAAATGCCACAAACATCTCAAGTAAAAGGGGTATAAATATGTGCAAGCACGCTCAAATAAACTCTCCCGATAATCAATTTTGTATTGTATCTTCTTGCAACTATCATCAATCATCGTCATACTGTGGACAACGACTCAACAATAAATGATCATCAATCGTCAAACTTATTCATCAAGCGTTTATCATAATTGTGAAGTTCGCTATCCTAATCTACCTATTCTACTAATTATGTCGTCTATAAAATTTGAACCGGGAAGTTCTAATCGCAAAAAGAAACAAAACACATGAAGAATTTATTCAATTTCAAACAGGAGCACTAGATAAATTTGTTATGAAAGATTCTAACGTCAATATTGCTCTTGGTGATGATTTTTAAGGCTGGTAATCGGTCGGTATCCTGTATTCGATATACCGGATATTGATAATCTGGTCGACGAATACCGATATCGGATTTTAATCGGTATGCAAGTATACCGGATAATCGGTATCCGGTATAAAACGGCCTAGTTATTCTGCTAACTGCATAAGTTGTTAGTATACACTAACTAATATCCAAAATGTATGAACAAGTATCCAAGTCTGCTGATTTTACTAAAATATCTAGATAGCATAGACTAGTATTCAAAACATCACAAACTAGTATCCAGAAAGCAGATACCACCTAATATCCACAATCAACCAACTAGTATTCAATATGGATACTCTTATGTGTTATCTGAATATTTTTATGTGTTATCTGGATACTAATTATGTGTTGTCTGTATACTATTCTGTGTTGTCTAGATATTAGTTTGTGAATTTGGGATAATAGTTGATTCATGGTGGATATCAGTTAGCAAACCTTGAATACTAGTCTGTGATCTCTAGATACTTTAGTACTTAGATACTAGTTTATGTATTTTGTATATCAGTTAGTATCTGCTAACGAATCTTCAAGTTAGCAGATTAACTTTTCCCGGTATAAAACCCGACAACAAAAAGACGGAGCGAGGGTCGCAACTAGGGACTATTGCAAGCCCCATCGTCCAAGAGTTTCAAAAACTCCACCGCCAACAACAACCGTCGGGACAACAACCGTCCCCGACGGTTGTATGCACTTATAAATACGTAATACATACAAAAATAATCAAAGCCTATGAGTTGCTTCTGAACAATAGCCACACTAATACATACAAAAGCTTCAGGGCAGCAGCCTATTCTCAGTTCAATTCCAACAAAAACAATGGAATCCACCCATTTATGTCTCAAATCTATTCACTTGAGCACAATGAATGAACCTAATAATGGCATTTAAGCTAGCAAGCTACAAGCTTCTCTGCCAATTTCCACACACCGACCATGCCACTAATTGCATCCCCTGTGAAGAACAATCCCTCCCTACTTGCCCGGATTGCTCTCACTTCTTTCTCAGCATATATCCTTCCTCTTTGCTCCCGTGGTGGCTAACTGGTGGCGAAGAGAAGAGGAATACGGAGACGGACTCGCTCGGGACAAAAGAGAAAAGGAAGCTCGGCGGCGTGGAGGCAGGTTGGGAAGGTGAATGCTTCGGGAATTAAGGTTGGCGACTTGGCAGGACCAATTTGACAATTTCGGGGGCACAATCCGCATACAGTATACAACATCCGTTATTACGGTATATCATTTCACCGTCGGTATATACCGTTTATTTTTCGGTATTACCGATACCATTTTCTATCTGCCGTATACCGATACTAAAATTAAACGGTATATCGAATACAGTCGGTAACCGGTTAAACTGGATACTAGATTACCGATTACCATCTCTAATGATATTGATGCTAGCAATGTTGATTCATAAAACTTTGATGCTAATGTTGCTCTTGTATTGTTGATGCTAATGATATTTTGGATGCCAATGAAGTGTTGCTCTTGTTGTTGTTGTTGATGCTAATGACATTTTGGATGCTAGTGTTGCTCATCTTGTTGTTGATACGAATCTTGCTCCTACTAAAAGTATTAGTGATACCCTTGATGTGGTGGATCAAACTAATTTTGATGATTTTTAAAAATTGTTATTTTTTATCCTAGAAGATGAGATTCTCATCATTCCAAGATGATTTATATTTTGGTTGAGAAGGGTCCCGAAGAGATTTCTCTACTAGAGAAGTTTTCAGAAAAAAAACATTGTGCAAGTTGGTTTACTAGAGTTTTACCGAATGGTGAAAAGCGTGATAGGATTGGCTTGTTTAATCGAAATAGCTTGATAGAGTATTTTGTTTTTGTTGTAAACTTTCCAAGGTGTAAAGGGTCAATTTGCAAATGAAGGTTTTAGTGATTGGTCACATATTATAGGTAGGATGAGAGGGCATGAAACTAGTCTAGAAAATTATTAAAAATTGGCTATTTGGTATGATTTGCGTCTGAGACTTCAAAAGAACCAAACAATAGACAAAGTAGCTCAAAAAGAATTTGAGAAGGTAAAGTGTCATTGTAGAAATGTTATATTGAGAATGATTTCAATGGTTAAGTTTCTTGCTAAATATAATATTGCATTTCTTGGTAGAATGAAAAATTATTTGAAAATAGCAATGGTAATTTTTCAGGTCGATTGAGATGTTGGATGAGCTTTATCATGTTATTCCAGAGCATTTTCGTCGCATTACAAATGAGGAGATTAATCGTCATTATCTTGGTCATAGAATTTAAACTGAAATTATACTGTTGCTTGCCAATGCAATTAAATCTAAAATTATTGGAAAGATAAAGAAAACAAAGTATGTTTATGTTATTCTTGGTTGTACTCCTAATATAAGTTATCAAGAACAAATGTCAATTATATTAAGGTATATGAATCTCTCTTCAAAGTCTATTTCAATTGATGAGTCTTTTGGGGGGATTTTGGAAGTGAATGATACTACTAGTCTAGGATTATTTGATGTTTTTAAAGTTTAGTTGAATTCTCTTGATGTTGACATTGATAACATTCGAGGTCAATCCTATGTCAAATGGATGAAACATGAAAAGGTAAATGCCACATTTGGTCATTGAGATTACTAAATCGTGTCATATTTAGTCACTAGAAAAGTTTAATATCAATTTTGGTCACTCGAATTACTGAAACTGGTCACATTTAGTCACTCTCCCATTAGTTTCCGTCTAACTCCATTAATTGAGTTAGACGGAAACTAACGGGAGAGTGAATAAATGTGACATGTTTCAGTAATTCGAGTGACTAAATGTGACATGTTTCAATAATTCGAGTGACCGGAGTTGGACAGACGCTACAGGAGAGTGACAAAATGTGACCTGTTTCAGTAATTCGAGTGACCAAAATTGATATTAAATTTTTCTAGTGACTAAACATGACACGATTTAGTAATCTCAGTGATCAAATGTGGCATTTGCCCTAACATGAAAGGAGAACAGTGGTGTTCAAGGAAGGTTATTATATGTAAATTCTAGAGCATTTCATACATCATATATTTCTCATAGTCTTATAATTTGACATTATGTGATATGAATGATTCTTGCGGTAAAGCTAGAGATGTTTTTTGAATTATTCAACGTATTTATATTATATTTTCGAATCCAATAAAAGATGGCTTGTTTTGAAAAATAATGTTAAACATTTGAATTTGAAACCATTATCATCAACTCGTTGGGAGAGTCGTGTTGAAAGTATAAAAGCAACTAAGTTCCAAATGCCAGAAGTTAGAGAAGCCTTACTTCAAGTAGCCGATCTTGATGGCGATTTGAAAATTAGAAGTGAAACTAAATCTTTAGTTCAAAATGAACTTGGTGATTTTGAGTTTATTGTTTCATTAGTTATTTGGTATGAAATATTGTATTCAACAAATTCGGTTAGTAAACATTTACAATCCATAGATATGCTTATTGATGATGCTATTTTGAAAATAGATAGATTGATTTCATTTTTTAAAAGATATAGAGAAGATGGTTTTCGAAAAGACTTCGATCAAGCAAAGGAAGTTTGCACTAAAATTGAGGGAATTGATCAAAGACACTCAATTTTCATGATAAATACTCAATCAATATATAATTACACAAATCCATCACCACATAGAATTCACAAACATCAATGTACAACATCCTAGACTAGGGTTCACACCATCCAAGGAAAAGAGAAACTAGTTCGTAGCTAGAGAAAGAACAACAACTAGAAATGAGCAAACCCCCATGGGAACTTGACTCTTCTTCTTCCTATTTGCTTGGATGGATGCTTGGAGATGAAATATGTCCTCCTTTGGGCTTGAATAGGTAAAATCCTTGAATAGGTAAAATCCACCTTCAATTCTCTCTTGTTCGTAGCTTTCTCTCTAGGTTGAGGAATGTGGAACTCAATCTCACACTAAAACTCCCCTCCCCTCTCACACTAAAACTCCCCTCCCCCCCCCCCCCTCTTCAAAATCCGATCTCCTCATTTATATAGCTTGACTGTGCATGTTTCATTGTTGCACATCATGCCAGTGAAGCGTGCAACAAAATCGTGATTTAAGCTAAAACGCGTTATTTCATTAACACACTTCACAGTTTCCTAGTTGACTTCACAGTCTGGGACCGTGAACCATGCACTACCCTTGATACTTATGTTTGCTCCTAGAAACTTGCAGACATCATAGCCTTCATGTAATCTTCACTATCTACTTTTCTTGATAATCGCCTCCAAACTGTGATCCATGCGCTTTTCACCATTTTGTTCTATTTTTTATCCCTTTCTTCCCACTTTCGATCCTTTTGTCTATTTCGCTCGCTCTGGTGTGAAACATTAAAAATCATTCGAAAACATATTGTAAAATTGCTCCAAGGACGATGCTAAACAATTCATACAACCAAGTCAGAGGGGTAAAAACATGTATAGAATGGCTAAAATCAATCTCCTTCAACTTTTATTAGTTGCAAAGGGTGCCATGATGTCAGTCAAGGAGGGAGGGTCAAAATAGAGGTCAAATTGTGTCGGCTCTCAATAAAGAATTCTTCTTCAAAGTAAGCAACAATGGCAGAAGCGAGAGACAAGTAATTCGAGTTATTGTTAGAGGAGAAGAAGAACACATACGACGATCGAGTTCTAGGGTTCACTACAAAAGATACCGGGAGAGTGTCGAGGAAAGATGAGAGGTAGGTCGTAAGAGGCCGCGATGACGGTAGGGAAGTAGAGTTGAGAAGGGTGCTAATCATTACCAACAATGTGAAGGTGTGGAAAGAATTGAGGTAGTGGCTTAACGTTACGAGCGACGGCGCCAGTGAGAAGATAGGTATTACGGCGATTTCAAGAGAAGTTTCAAGCATAATGATAAGTATTACAGGTAATTGATCAAAATGGTCACATAGTTTGGACCTGTAACAAAATGGACACAAATGTGAAACCGTAATAAAAAGGTCACACAAGTATCACGATATAATAAAATAGTAATGTCTTGTTTTGGTCGTATTTACATCCAAGTTTACCAATTAGCTTATTGACACAATTCAAAATTAATAAAAATATATCACACTCCTAACCAACCCGCACAACTACGTTTTTTCGAGAGGAAGCTAACTTGTCATCTTTAATGGAAATATTGTTACGTTTCAAATGTTTGTGGTCATTTTGTTACTAGCTCAAACCTGTATGTTGGTATTGATGCCTCAAATTAATTCCAAAACTTGGAGTTATGCAAATCACTTGGGGTTATTGAAGTTATTACCACATGTAGTTAATTGTGTGGAGTTTCCCTTGGGTTAATGGGAGTGTCGTTCGCTTTATCTTTGGCTTCTCCTAAGCCATTTTACAAGGCTAGCAATAGAGAGTCTATTGTTGTTGAATAGACACATTGAATTCTTCCAACTCTTTTATTCTCCTAACTTGTAGAATATATTTTTGAGTACTTTACCTTTATGTAGGGAGTTTTCTACTTACTCCACAACTTTGTACGCTGAAGATTATTCCTTGATCATAGTGGAGTCCACTATGATCAAGGAATAATCTTCAACGTACAAAGTTGGTGCCTTGTCTACCTCCGCTTTAGAGGGTTTTCCACGTAAGTTTGGTGTCTTGTCTTTGTTCATTCTCTTTTCTATTTTCTTGTTCGATTTAATATTGGCTTTGCTTCCGCTAGTGCTCATTTATATCCAGGTTCAAAAGTCGTTAAAAGGACAACAAGTGGTATCGGAGCCCTTGCCAACCAATTGAAATCCTCGACAAGATGACTGCAAAGTTTGACATTGAGAAGTTTGATGGCAAGATATCATTCTCGATATGGAGAATTCAAATGAAGGAAATTTTGACACAAAACGGTATTCAAAAGGCTTTACTTGGTCTCGAAGCCAAACCAGAGACCTTGACTGATGTCCAATGGAAAGGGCTCGATGAAAAGGCTCTTACTGCTATCCAATTATGCCTGTCAAAATCGGTTTTGCAGTAGGTGGTGAGTGAGACTACTGCAATTGGACTTTGGACAAAATTAGAGTCACTTTACATGACGAAAAGTCTCATTAACAAGCTTCGTCTAAAAGAGAAGTTATACACTACTCGTCTGGATGAAGGTACTCCAATTCAAACCCATCTTTCTACCTTCAATTCCATTGTTATGGACTAGGGAAATATTGACGTGAAAATTGAAGATGAGGATAAAGTTGTTTTATTAATATGCTCGTTACCCTAGTCCTTTAAACACTTCAAAGAGATCATGCTCTATAAAAATCTGGATACTTTGTCTTATGAAGATGTAAAATCTAACTTACTGTCAAAAGAAAATTTTGACTTTGAGTCCAGTTATAATGACAAAGGTGAATTTTTATTTATAAGAGGAAGATCCAAGGAAAAAGGGGAATCAAGCAAAGGTAAAAGTAAAGCTCGATCCAAGTCACGTGGTTGAAAATCTGATGATGGGAAGTACTATCGCTATTGTCGCAAAATTGGTCAAGAAATTTCTGATTGTTTCAAATTAAAGGCCAAAGAAGAAAAGAAAAAGCAATCTCAAAAGGCTTCTGAAGCCGGAGAAGCTAGTATCGTCAATGATGATTCTGATGGTGAAGGTATGGCAACAATTTCTTCTTATGATGGCTGTAATTCAGATGTTTGGGTCCTTGATTCTGCATGCACTTTCATATTTGTCCCAATAAGAACTGGTTCAAAACACTTAAACCTGTTAATTCTGGTGTTGTGCTAATGGGAAATGATGATCCTTGCAAAGTTCTTGGTATTGGTACAATTGAAATGCTTCTTCATGATGGGGTTGTCAGAACTCTTTCTGATGTTCGCTATGTTCCTGACATGAAGCGAAATCTTATTTCCTTAGGCACCCTCGAGTCTCTTGGGTGCAGATATGGAGCTGAAGGTGGAGTTCTTAAAGTGTATAGAGCTTCTCTTGTTTTGATAAAAGCTAGCCGCATCGGTATGATATATGTCCTGCAAGGTTCTATTGTTACAGGTTCAACAGATATTTCTACCTCGCTGCTTGATTCGCATAATACTCAATTATGGCATATGCGGCTAGGACATATGGGTGAGAAGCCAATGACAGTTCTAAGCAAAAGAGGACTATTGGGAAGCCAAAATTTGGGAAACTTGACTTTTGTGAACACTGTATCTTCGGGAAGAAGAAAAAGGTCAGTTTCTCTGCTGCTTCATATAGTTCGAAGGGGGTGCTTGATTATATTCACTCAAATTTATGGGGGCCCTCTAAATTTCCTTTCATAGGAGGTCGTAGATAGATGATGACAATTATTGATGATTTCTCTCGTAAAGTTTGGGATTATTTCTTACAGAACAAAAATGAAGCTTTCTCGCACTCAAAAAGTGGAAAGTGCTAGTTGAAACTCAATAAGGAAGGAAAGCTAAGAAACTTAGAACTGATAATGGTTTGGAATTCTGTGAAACTAAGTTTAATGAATTTTGTTCCTCACATGGAATTGGTAGACACAAAACTCAAGTTAAAACACCTCGGTGTTGCCGAAAGACTTAACAGAACAATTCTCGAAAAGACTCGGTGTATGATGTCAAATGCAGGTTTATGGCATAGACGTGATTTATGGGCAGAAGTTGCAGCCAAAACTTGTTATTTAATCAACTGTTCTCCACATAAGTTGCTGGATTATAAAATTCCAGAAGAAATTTGGACAGGTAAACCTGTTGATTCTTCCAAATTAATAATATTTGGTTGCCCAACATATTATCACGTCAATGAGGGTAAGCTCTCTCTACGATCTAAAAGGTGTTT